TCAACGTCCATGTCGATTTCTAAGATCGGCAATAAAATTTATAGGGTGCGTTATATGCAAGAAAGAAATGGTGACACAATGATTTATACTGGTGCAGGCCCTCAGGATGAGGTAATACCCTAGTCCAGTTGTTTGGTGGATTATCTTTGTATCCGTTGTTGAGTGAAGAGAGTGTCCAACCCCCTAAGCGTGCTGCCTATCCCCTTTATATAGCAGCAGGGTGATCGGCGGCAAGGTAGATGTGGTATCCCTCACTATCCGGGTACCTGCCATCCTTCAAGATATGGCAGGCTAGGTTTCCATTCTCCTATTCCCCGTCATTTATAGTAACAGACTACATGGGCCTAGGCCCGTACAACATTAAAGATTCAGCCTCTGAGTACCGCGGTGGGCTACCCCAGTACGATAACTCCCACAGTAGCCGCTGAGTACTTTGCTTGATGAAGAGCCCAAGAAACTCGTCCGCCTGGAGTAGGGAACAAAACTGGCCAAGTACTTCTTCCAAAGTCACTAGTTAGGATAACGGTCTAGACCCGGGTGAAAATCTTCAAAGTCTTATCTCTTTCCTTTGTTAGGGACGGAAAGAAGACTTTATTTGACTGTGCGCCAAGGATCTTGTGGGCCGGTCTGCTTTAGGAAACTCCAGGTATAAATACCCCTGGCGGGAGCACCATTGCTCCCCTTCCCCCAAATTCGCTTCGTCGCTTCGTCTTCCTTGCTCTCTCCCCAATCGCTCTTCACAGCCAGTAGTTAGTGATGAACCCTGAGTTCCTCTTGATACTCAAGGCAGTTGTTTGGCCCAATCTTTCGGTGAGTTGATGATAACTACGATTTGGGAGAAACATTGACGATCCGACTACAACCGTACGATACGTTGTGTTGCGTCTTAGCGATCGATACAAGCAAATCAAAGAAACAAGCAAGAACAAGATAAAAGCAATCTGATATTACAAATAGAAATTGAATACAAATGATAAGTTGGGGTTTCGAAGAACAAGCAGACGGACGGTCTAGCTGACACGTGCGCTACAAGCAAGTAGCAATGGCTAAACTTTAATCTATCAGAACCTGAGAAACTCTAAAGGGGTACCTAACTATTTATAGAGGTGGGAGGACGACCAAGAGGGTCCAGGGGTCATGCTACACCAGATTGGGTTGCACCCCACATGGGCCCCACTTGGGCCGGGGTCCCAGACATAGTTACAAGCCCATAGGCCCATTACTGGTGACGTGTCACCTTGCTTCTGTGATTGCGGCCAAACGAGATAGAATTCCGAGATGAGGCTGGATCCGTTGGAAAGACGACTTTGAGAGCTTTCCATCAAGTACTCACGGGTCCAAAACAGAGCACGTATGTAGATTTGGCGCTCGTTTGAAGTCAGCAATGTAGCACGTAGCCGAATCAGATTGCAACACATGGAGGACTTGATCTTGATGTCTTCTTGTTGATTCATGATATGAGCAATGGTTGTATCCAGAGTAGCCATGGTCACATCACCTTCCCCTTCTTCATGGAAAACCGTCCTCGGTTTTTCCATATGGTGCTCTTCCTGTAGTCCATTTAGAACAACCTGTTTCATCCACTCAAAACTAGAAAAACTTGAACTAATATGATTAGCAATAACATGTCTCTCTAGCTTGCAAGTTTTATCCATATCTATAGGACGTTCTAAATTCGAACAAATGTAAACTATATGCACCAAATTTATTCATCTGTCATTATATTCACCAAAGATATGAGAAATAGCATTAGCTGGACATGGCAAATCAGACTTAGCAAATAATTTCTCCTTCAAATTATCGAGCTCACAAAAATTATCAAACTGAATATAGCCCAAAGTATTTAAAGAAAATATCAATTCATGCTCCTCTACTTCATGAGCAATGTGAACAACATGCTTAAAATCAGCAGAATTAACATTAGGAATAACATGTTCATTAACTAGTTGTGGCATTCATATAAGTGAAGCATTATCATAAAACTCTTCTTTATCACAAGGAACAGCAAGTAAATCAACTTGTGACAAAGGAATTTCAACATTTGATTCCACTAACGGTTGCTCTACTTTAACATGAAAAATGGACAAATTTACTTCGTTGACAACACTCTCACCTTGATTAATTTCAGCACCATTTACTTTACCTTTGATGTCCTCTTCAGATAATGGAGATGCCTCTAACTTGAGTGCGAACAATGGAATTGGCGGGTCATTCATGTCTCTCTCCTCCTTTTCGTGATTACGCACTTTCTACAAATGAATAGTAATTGGAGGCAAAGACATAGCGTATTTCTTTTTCTTTTTCTTTTTTTTGGTGCGGCTTTTTTTCTTTTCTTTTTTTCACCTTTGTACCTTTTTTTTCTTTCTTTTTTTTTTGATTTTTTTTACCAAAAACAGACTCAAGACCTCAATGTAAGCCTACAGGGACTCAAACATAAATATAAAAATTACAGGGACTCAAGTGCAAAAGTGCAAACCCAAAATTAAAATTATACAAAAATGGAATGTACTCGTCCCACAGGTTCCATTTTTACAAACAAATATTGAATCCGACAACAAAATAAAATGTTACCCAAGTGTCTGATAGACCCGGATGGAATCACCGTGAAAGAAGGGAGTCGGACTCAGATTGTCTCGGCAATTAGATAGCAAGCTAGATTGACTTTCAGATCGGCGTTGGTTTGAAAAGGCTGCACACGTGGAAAATAGAAACAATATCACACTTCCTTTCAGCGTGGCCCCCAAATAGAAACCAATCTACAATTTCTAGCACTCCATCCAAAAACCGATCTACTTTCCCCTTCTCTCTTTTTCCTCGCACAACAGAAACAAATCACGGCCGAATACAAGCACGGGTAGGACGGCAAACCCTAGATGCAACTCAGCAACTCCAAAACCGACCGACAAAAACTTCTGATATCTACAAAAATAGAACCATGGCAACGAGCCGATTCCGTTTTCGTAGGTCCCGACGACAACAGAGACACGCTGGTGGTGATGACTGTGGTACAAAACGTGACCAGAACTCGAAACTCTAAACGAACTAGATGCTAAGACTAGCAACACGATGTGACGATGCAACACAAAATTTAACAAAGCAAAAACTGAAAAGAACAATGCAATGGCACAATATGGCTAGGTAAATGATACAATTTTTTTTTGTCTGGCTATTTTTTCTCGTTATGGTAGATAAAAACTCACCGAGCAACGAAAGCTCTGATACCACCTGATAAACCCTGAGTTCCTCTCGACACTCATGGCCCGATCTTTCGGTGATGTCGTAGACTTTCCGGACCTTCCATTATATTTGAGGGATGAAGTGAATAATTCAAGTCATCAAACAAACATAATGAAACATCCGACGCCTCGAGAGAAGAATATTGGAGACATTGCTAGGCCTTTAGCCTGCCAGTCAACTTCAGCCTGAGATGTGCCCGTCAAACCACTCGAAGGCGGCGACCAGATGTGTTACACATTCAGGAGACTTGACAAAAATGGCTAAAGATCTACAACATCTCAAATATTCTTAAGTTATACTCATGTGAATCTATTTCCCAGGATATGCACTAGATTCACACTTTCATCTCAAGCATGATTATACATAGCAAACACAAATAAGATGAAAGCGATTATAAACTACATCTACTTTAGTTACATTGGCCGACCGGCCAAATAAATATATAGAACAGCGGAAGCTTGTCTACCCAATCCACAAGCACACCGACTAGGGGTTTACTCCATAAGTTCAAGTCCTAGAAGAAGCAGTCGATTACCCGCATCACTCAAAGACTAAGTCTAAAACCTGCAAGCAAAAGATTAATTCAATAGCAAGAGTCAGTACATTGTTAGAAATAATGTACCGGCAAGCACCAAGACAAGCCTAACACCCTACTTGCAAGGCATATAATCAAGGAAGGCATAATATGGTTCTTTTTAGCATAAAGCAAGTTTTATTTGCATAAAACATTTCTAAATCAGGTTTACTTTCAAATAAATTTCAGCAAGCTAGTACTTGACATATTGGGCATCAAGGTAGGCATTAATCATGTATAAATATGCACCTCATTGCCTTCCATGGCAGCAAGGAGATCATTCTCAAATCTCATCACAATTTGAAGGTAAATTTCAGCATTTAGAAGAATAAATACAAGTCTATACTCAATACATATCCACACGTCGCTTTTGACCGCGAGCACGGCTAATCGATTAGTTTTTACTCTACAGAGTTTGTACACTTTACCCACATGATGCGAAATAATAATCATGCAAGAGCATGGTACGCGATACATAAGTACCCGATTTATTACCCACAACAAAGCTTTTCCAAAATTCATGATTTAGCCTTACACCAGCACGATACGTGTTACTCCATCCTAAGCCATACAGGTTATATGACCTAGAACCGTTAAGTGGCGGGCCCACACCTTAAATTTAATGCCATGGTGGCATACACAACAAGAACCCACCACGTGGCACAATACCGTTGTATTGGACACGCTTAGTCACCTAAACTACCACTTCGGGGTAAATAGGAAGCTCCTCTGAATTATACGAACTCATACACACCGGCCTACTAGAATGTAAGGCTAAACCATAAATAGTTTACTAAGCTTGGGCTATCCCATACTAGCACATGTGGTTGCACTGTATACGAAATGAACTGACATTGAGTGAAGTCCTTAGGTCGGTTTGGGCACACTCTCCCCCTATCGGTACACAACTAATCACCATATGTGCACCACTTGAGGCCCAAACCTAAAATCCATGTTTTCCACCATTTTATTTATCAAAATCACAAGTATTAAAGTTCTGTCTAGATTAATTAAAAATCAATTTTCATGTTTGTAATGAGCCCATAATGACAAGGAAGACCATTCTAAGCATGGCTAAGCTTTATAGTAACCTAGTGTCACCAAAACTCATATATAAAGTGGTATAGTCATATTGTTCCTAAGGTTAGGAATGAGGAATATGGATATATGTGGAGTTAAGGTGATAATGCAAATAATAGGAGTTTATCTAACAAGTTTAACAAAATTTTAATTTATTAGTGTACAATCCACATGCAAGATTTGCAAACATTTTCAATAACCTCCAAAACATAGGTTCAAAGTGATCAAAGAGATGGAGGTGGGACTTGCCTTGAATCAGGAAAATGTTAGCACCTAAATTACTTCTTCACCGTTTAAGCAATCATCTATACAAAGTACACATTATGCAATTAAACACTGAAATATGTGAAAAATCCAAAATGCTCTAAAATGGATGATTTGTGCACAGTGAATAGGTACTGGTATAATATGAATTTAGGTGAAATAATTTCTATTTTATCTCTTTTTATTTGGGAGTTATGAATTTTAGAAGTTTCCTTAGTATAAGGTAGTATCACCTAGGTAGTGTTATAAAATATTTTTACAAAGTGATGTTTATTAGTTTTGACTTCACAGAGGTGTAGAGAGTGTTTTCTAAGACTAACACATTTGGTTTCACAATTTTTGGACTTAATATGAATTCTTTATGTATTTTACAAGTTATAACGTGTTATAGGTGTATAGTGTTCTATAGGTTCATGGCTTTAGAGGCTTAGGTCCAGAACTTGCCTCATCTGGCTAGTGATGTATAAAATGAGTATTTTAGTTAACTAATCTAACCTTAGTTCATAGGCTTATGGTCTTTATTATCATGGTTCATATTTTATAAACTAGGGGAGCTCTAGTCCATGCTAGCAATTTATTATATCAACCTAGAAATTATTATATGAGCTAAGTGCCTTAAGTTTTGGTGGATGGGGATGGAACTATGCATTCACTGGTCTAACAAGTTTTATTTGGGTTTCATTATAGCTAGAGTGTATTTCTATATACATTTATATATATACATATTGCTCAATCGATACTATGTGATTAGCACCTATCCTATAAATTTAAAGTTTAGAGCTATAACCTGTACAGAAGGTTCCATATTTTATTTTACTATGTTGAAGCCCACTGTTTGCTGGTTCTATAGATATTTGGTTCACTTCATTTAAACTAAAGATGAATTTTCTACAAATTTTACAATTTAAGGTTGCTCTATGTTGGTTATTACTTGGCTTTTATCATACAGTAAGTATATAATTTTATTTTATAACTTGGAAGTATATGTTTTGGTGATTCTACAGAACTTGGGTTTACTCAAAAAGGATCTAAGATGAATTTTATATGAACTTCTAAAATTCAGCTTATCTAAAACTAGTCATTTTAAATATAATAGTTTCAGAGGCATTTGATCTAAAGTATGTATACTATTTCATTTTACTTTATAGGAAAACATAAGTTGATGGATCTATAGAAGCTGAGTTTGCTCTAAAATGAGTTGAGATGAATTTTATATGCATTTTATAAATTTGTGTATGCTTTATGTATGATTTATCTTAGACCAATTTTAGAGACAAAGTTTGAACAGTGAATGTCTAGTTTTATGCAATAACTCTAAAGTTCATGATTTGGTGAGTTCACAGAAATTTTATTTACTCTAAAATGAGTTGTTTTCAATATGTTATGGATTTTATAAGTTTACATGTTTTCCTGTTGAAAATATAAAGCTTTTAGTATTATCTTTTTACATTTTCAGATTTTTAAACTCATGGGGTCCACCTGTCGGTATCAGGACAATATGCAAAAAGGCCCATAGGGTTTCAGGAAATCAACCCGCAGTCCTAGGTCCATATATCATTGATTGGGAACATTACGTAATGAACCTTATAGTTGTTTAAATTCTCAAAATGAAGTCCCTGACTCCTTTTTCACACGCACAGAGGCAGAGCAGCCATGGCTGAGCTCGATCCCGGGTTCACCGGCGGTGAATTGGTGGCTCGGTTGGAGTTGCGGTTAAAATATAAAATTAAGAGCATGTTCTTGCGATTCCATTCCTCTAGTTTTCTTGGTTAGGGGACATCGGAGTAGCGCCAGCGGCGAGTCCGAGTAGAGGATGTTTTCGGGTGGTGGTGCATGTGCTTCTAAAATCATGTATTGGTTAATTGGGTGCATGCATGTATGTTCTATAGGCTGCTGGGTGCTCACCGAGATGCTAGACAAGGCTGGGGATGTCTGCAGATTCACAGCGACGGCGAAGCTCCATGGCGGCATGGCACAACTCCAGGGATGACGTCGGCTGCTCGATCTGTAAGGGGAGTCACCAATACGGTGCATACAAGAGGTCAAAGGCTATCTAGAGAGGCCATGCATGCATGGAATTTGACTGACGCCCACCAGAGAGAATGGAATCGATGATGGAAGCGGTTGAACGGAGTTGGAAAACACGATGTCGACCTCCAAGATCGCTGCGCCATTGGATGGGTTTCTTGAGGGTAAATGGAGAGGAGGTTGAGGTGAAGCTGGTGGCGTGGTGGCTCGCTCCGGCTTGATCTAGATTGATGGCAACAGCGACGATGTCGCTGCGGCGGTGCGCAGAGCGCGCTCCAAAGCTCCGGTGTGCACAGCAGCGTTCCCGTCGATTGGCTGCACCAGAGAGGATGAAATCAAAAGAAGAAATATTCGGCATGGTGAGGAGAGTATGGAACGCAAGAGAAGAGGAAACGACCGCGGCTCATCAACGATTCCGGCCATCGTCTTATTCGCAGCCGGCGATGGAGAAACAGTGGAGAAGGGCAGCGAGGATGCTCTCCCTCGGATGGATCGGCACTGGAATGGTGGGTGAAGAGTGGTGACGCGTCTGGAAGAGGCAGAGATGGAGCTCGGCGTTTTTAGGGCGTCGACACGTCGTGGCCACGCGTCGCGCAGCATCCAGAGCTGGTCGGCACTCGATCTCTCCCTCTCAGTGTTTCTCGGTCGGCTAGGGAAGTTGCACAGAGGAAGGGCAAGCCGGAGGGATTGACAAGGGGGCCCAGGTCGAAGTAAACTAGGTGGAAGAGAGATGTGTGGGCAGAAACATGGGTGAGCTTGGTTTTTGGACGAATTTCCATAATTATTTTCTCCTCTAATTTTGTAGCTTCAATACTTAATGTGTTGACCAGATTAACTAGTGTTGATTTTACTGAGGTAGGTATATATACCTAGTTTCCATTTTCTTTGGTTGCACTTAAAAATTATGAATGGATTACTCACAGAAATTAGGAGAAGATGGGCTCTTTGGAAACTAGTTTAAATTTTAGGAGACCTAAACAGAGAGGATAAATTCTGGAAAAATTATATTTATTCATGATAATTAACCTAGTATTTGAATAAATTATTTTCCTTATACACTTCCATGCAGTTAAATGCACTTTTAAACAATTGTTTGGTTTTAGCCGATTGAGAATTATAATCAGTCTATTATTTGACTGGTTTGACTTATTTATTTGAGGTATCAGATTTATTTATTAATTGTACCAAAATTACTGTGTGTTGTATATGTTAAGTAGAGCCTACATGAATTTTCCCATGATTTTATCTTGCACGAATTATTTTAGATAATTCGCAAGACTTATCTTTATATATGTGTTTTCCTCCTCATAAATGCATCTAGTAAATTTATAAAAATTATATTTGGACTCTCCTTAACCTGAGGTGATGTTGATATGAGGTGATGTTGATATGTTAGAATTACATATTACCTTACACATGTCATAAGCTTCTTGCCTATTATTTATGTATAAGTTTACTTTAGTATTAAATTAAGCGAATGCTTATAGAGATGATTAATATAGAATATACCCTACATGAGTTAGGTCAACTTCCCCTAGGTTTTAAAACGGAAATTTTTGGTTCACAAAATTGAAGAACTTTCCTTTCAACTAATTTTGACGAAAATTTCTTCATCCTAAAATTCGGGTATGTTACAATCGGCTGGTATCGGCATCGGCTATTATCGGCTATCGGCTAGAACTACTCCATCGGCTTGTCAGCCGATTGGCTGTTTTGATCTACTATTTGCATATCTTGTCAGTTGCAGGATTAAACTGACTGGCACGCCCACATCTCATTAATCTTTGGTCCTGCACTGGAGTTAAGCAGATCTCCCAAGCCTCGTGTTTTCTGTCAACACGCTTTTGGCACGCCCGGTGGGACATTTAAGAAGTCAGCCAACAATTCTTCCTCATAGCCGAGAAACAACCACCACCACCATCCCCAGCTAGCCCGGGCTCTGTTAAGGAAAATATGCTGAAATTAGGATTGCCTAACGTCAATGAAGGAAACGTCGTGCCGATCGATCCAGAAAAATTCACACCTTAGCAGAAGAAAGAGTTTGAAGCAATATTGCAGCAAGCACAGGATCAGTTCTTGAACTCATTCATGCAGACCCGCAAGGGGACACTTGTTCAGAAGTACAAAATAAAAGTGGTTGGTGATGATCTTGAGACCAGTTCTTCTAAGGATGGAGATGGAAAACAAGCTCCAGATGGCTCGGCTCAGCTGAGTAACAAAAGTGCTACCGACGGCTCTCTAGGAAATCAAGGTGACAATTATCAAGGGGTCCATGGAGTGCAAGGTGACGGGGTGCATGGAGTTCAAGGTGATGGTGCCCAGGGGTTGCAAGGAGGAAATCTTAATCAGAATAGTGATGCGGCACAAGATTTTTTCAGTAATTTCCAAGATCGGGTTGACTACGTTGTGCATCATGCTTTGATCAATCAATCTGGGGTGTTAGTCAATACCTTATCAAACATGATGAAGTCAATAGCCGATGGTTCAATAGCTGAGCATCAGGCTGCAGGCCCGGTTTATTTGCAAGGAGGTGTCTTTCCAAATTATCGGTCTTTGATTACCGATGTTCAGCCATCAACTCAGGCGGTTCCCTCCGTTGCACCAACATCTCAGCCGACGGCACTGGCGTCAACTCCCCTACCTGTTCCGTCAGCACTGGCGCCAGGCCAGCCAGTGAACCCTCAGTTGTTAATAAGAGAGCAGCCACAGCATGGCGGGCAGGTTGCGAATCGGCTGACCCAAGATCAGGTTGCTGCCACGTTTCTACCACCTCAACCTATTGTTGATCCAATACAGCAGCAGCCGATTCAACAGACGCCGTTAAGACAGCAAATCATTTAGCCGATCCAGCACCAAGGTTCAATAGGCGCATCGGCTGGGTTTGCAACGCCTAGTAGTCAGCCTGTACAACAATTTTTAAATCAAGTTATCCCAGAACACTTGGTTCACCACGTACAGCCGGATGGCACAGTAATACCTCAAGTTGTTCCTGAGCATTTGGTACGTAATATCCAGCCGAACCTTCATAATTACCAAGGGGGTAACTTGAATTATCAATATCAGCCTCCTTCCCCGCAAGCCCAATATCAGCCAGGGGGATTGGCTCAACCTCAGTTTGCGTCTCAATACGGTCAGTTTGAGCCCATGCAGCAACAGTCACAAGGGGTAGCTCAGCAACGACCATGGGTCGATGTGATTACTGACGTAATGAGGAAACAGTTTGGGCTTAAACCAAAAGAGACTGGAAGCTTTTATCGGCAGCCTTACCCTGAGTGGTTTGAGAGAGTTCCTCTTCCCAATCGGTTCAAAGTTCCGGACTTCTCCAAATTTTCGGGACAAGATGGTGTGTCAACTTATGAGCACATTAGCCGATTCTTAGCTCAGTGTGGTGAAGCATCGGCTGTAGACGCTCTGTGTTGACGAAAAAATCGAACACACCGGCCTGGGAGATCTGCTTAACTCCAGTGTAGGTCCAAAGATTGGTGAGATACGAGCGTGCCAGTCAGTTTGATCCTACAACTGACAAGATATACAAATAGTAGATCAAAACAGCCGATCGGCTAACAAGCCGATGGAGTAGTTCCAGCCGATAGCGATAATAGCCGATGCCGATACCAGCCGATAGCGATAGGGTATAAGCAATCGGCTATATGTCCAATGTAAATAATGATATGAAGGTAATCAGCTGACGATGATGTAATAAAATAATAAAATAATCTAGTAGAAACCAATCGGTTAGAAACAAAATATAATAAACACTGATCCGAAGGTTAAAGCATACATCGACTGGAGGTCCGATGTCATGAAATCCACAAGATTAGATTAAACAATGAAACCTTTGTTGTCATCGGTGAAATCCAACTTACATGTATGTGCAATCCTTATGAGCCGATGCAACGTCCAGATAACTCACCGGCTGAAACCCCGAAGAAACCCTTATTGGCAATCAAGAAGCAGGCTAGAGATTATGGTTCTAAGCACGACTTAGTAGATCAAACTTAACTGATGCAGCACTAAGTATGAAAAGTAACATAATATCTAGACAATCAAGCCATTGACTGAGTTTTCAGGGTGGTAGATGTCTAAACTAATCTAATCTAGCAACGCGATTTAGCCGATACCGGCAGAAACCCTAAAACGAGAAACAGCCGATAGAGCTAAATTGATATGCTAAGACTAGATTAACAGAGACATATGATAAATAGGTAGGCAAATATATCATCCAAACCAGAGCAATCCAAGAGGTCGAATGTACTGATGCAGCCTTGAACGACGCTGACGTAAACGATACAATTGCCCGGGCCGGCGGAACATTGGACTTACCCCTTAGCCGGAGATCGAACACCGATGCAGCCCCGCGTCAAGTGCCAAGTCCCGCCGGACTATAAAATAAAGTAGAAAAGGTAAAAGATGGCGATGCGCCGAATTGTATTGATCGTGAAGATAAATTACATAGACCCCCGGGTGTACATATTTATACCCATGGATTGATACAAGTCCTTATCAGACAAGAAAGAAACTTTCCTAAAGATAAAAGGAAAAGATAAAGTCCTTATAGGACACTAAACACACTTTCCTAAAGATAAAAGGAAACTAACAAACTATTCCTAATTAATAGATAACTTGCCATGCCGCATTCTCTTTGAACTCGATCTCTTATGGATTAGCTTCCTTTAGTAGATCAATTTCCTTAACCGAATATAGCAAGAATCCGACAACTGACGACTTGACAACTCTCATCGGCTAATCTCAGGAGTTCGAAGCCGATGCTGACTCTAAGCCGATGACTACTCCGGGCTTACCAAATTTCACTGTTAACAGTGGCCAACTCGGTTGAGATGACCTTGGGGTAGATCTTGGCCGAGTTCGGGATACCGAACGGGGCGGAGACCCGGCCTCTTCCCAACTGGTTCGAATCCGAGTCGAGGAGATAAATCTTGCCGAAGTCGCTGGTGATGAAGTCAAGGCTGCTGAACAGGAACGCCTGCCCGGGAGGGAAGACGAAGTCATCAATGCCGGAGACGAAACCCATCGCACTAGTCGGCGAAGAACTTGACGCTACCCCTACCTGGCGCGCCAACTGTCGAAACAAGATTTCGGCAATACTAAAAGGGGTGGCTATCAAGCTGGAAAAGTGGATGGGTTGAGAGACAAGGAATTTTATACAGGTTCAGGCCTTCTTAATCAAGAAGTAATACCCTACTCCTGTCCGGGGATTAATCCGCCGAGTATATTATTGATCATATGATCTGGGAGAAAATCGTCTCCCTAGAGGCACCCGGACCCCTCCTTATATAGGGGAAGGGGTCCGTATTACAAAGCACAGTCCATATTCCTAACGGAATAGGTAGTTACAGATAAGATACAATCGTAACCAACTAGGATCCCGGGTATTTCCTTGACATACAAGTTTGGAATTTAACCCGAGTCCCTTTAAAGATATTCTATCTATACATGGCACCCCATACCCAGTCGAACTATACATGCCGTGTAGGTATGGGTTATCCATAATCTCCACAACATTGACCAACCCAAGGTGATTATTACTG